CTACCAGTGATCGATTCATGATTTCAATTGAACACCTTCAACAATATCTACAACCACATACTGAAAAACTGTTTTAAGCTAGTCATATTTATTGCTAATCACAGTGGTTCTGATAACATATCAAATGTTTTCAATTTAGTTGTAGATTGTGTACACATTATCAACAAAAGTAAGGTGAATACTGCCTGGCATTATTTGTCTACGTCTGGTGACATTCACACTTTTTCGCATTATGTGAACCGTTATTTATTATGTGGTAATTTTATGTATCCTCTACTTAACTAATATGTTTACCGTCATATCTTTACAAGCAGATATCGTCACGTTTTCTGGCATTTTCGCTGCCATATATGTGTCTATAGTATAAGTTAGTTATCTCTATTAAGATTATCAATATTAGTGAAGTTATACACATGGAAGTATATACAGTGTCATCCAATTCATTTCTTTCCATAAAACATTTTCTTTACTCAAATTCATGTTATCTCTTAAAATATATATTTATTTATCCGACAGAATAATTCCCTTTATTTCATTTATATTGCGTCAACATATCATTCGTAAAAATGTTATGACTTCCAAAAAGAATATCAGACTAAAACTATTTATCGTAGTCACTCACGTTTATTTATTAGAAAAGTAGAATTTCCTGATAGTGCATTTTGATATAATTGTTATACATCCAATTTGTTACTGTACGATTTAAAGATTTAAGATATTAAAGCTTGTTTTATTGACAATGCTGTTAGAAGGCAATCGGTAGATGATGCTACAATTCTGTTCTCGAACTTTGTCTTGGTTTCCGTAGTTTTCAATGTAACAAGAACAGATATTATAAGATAGATCTACTTTCTGTTGTGACTGGTCTTCATTAATTGTTATGTCAGAATTGCTCGTTAGTTATACTTGTAAAATGACGAATCACTGCAATTCACACAACGCGAAGTAAGAACAAATCCAAAGCACGACGACGACCCTAGTCGAAAATACACTCGTTTATACATTGGTTGTAAACCCATTTGATTAACAATTAAGATGAAATAAAATATATTGAAAGTAAATTAAAAACAAATCATATACCGCGTTTCATGTTGTGCATACTTCATGATATTTTAATATATATACGTATGTAAATACTGAACAAAATTCAACATTTCATTGTTATTGAAAATATGTTGTAATTAAAACAATAGTATCAATAATTTTGTAGACATCAATGCCGAGGCTAAACATGGTAATTCCGAATAAATTGATCATTAGATAGAAAGTTAATAATAAATATGTCCTTTGTTATATTCCAATGAATAGAAAAATTGTATTTCTGACGTTTCATGACTCAATGTAAGCCATTCCTTACTCTAAAGTGGTAGTTTAAAATAAGTTACGGAACGTCATAAGTACAATTTTTCTACTCCTTAGGATATAATAAAAACCTTATATATTAATAGTATTATTAATCTTCAATTCAGTAATAAACACATGAAACTATTTTATTTTTGATATCGTCATTCTTTAGATTATTTTTTATCAGTAGAATAGTCTTCAATGAATTATATATCTTCTTTAGCTTATTCAAAAGAACTGGATATATTATGATTTATTATGATCGGCTACAACAGTGAACAAGTGAAATATACAAATCTCAAACTCAAGTTGAACACGAGTATAGTAAATAAGTAGCTTATTGTATGCATGAATACTTGGTATGCAACAGATATGGTTACAGGTTTTAAAGATGTTTTATTAAATTCTTTATCATTTTAGAAATACCATAGTCTAAGATTGGAAAAAAATGACGTAATATATTTATTTCATTATTCAGTATCTTTATTCTCCTTTTATAATTTTTTTATTCAAATATAATAAAAAGAAACTGCTTAAAATATTATATGTAGAATCCTAAAATTGCTGTTAACAACCACTTGGTGATAAACATTTAGCTTACCTTGAACGAATATTTTATATCTTATTTAAATATAAAGACAAAATTTACAGTTTAAACGTAGTTTTTGCAGATCTCGACTATAAAAATTTAGTGGTACAGGATCAGTGGATTTTAGTGGTTGCACATCGTATGTTTATTAGTAAGATACTAAATGAGCGTCATGAATATATCATGTAATCGAGTAATATTGGATACTGAAAATTGTAAAACAGACATCTTTTTATTGTCATACCATTTATTTAGCATCATGTACTGATTTATGTATATACTCAAAAAGTATTCTAACATAACAGTATACACAACTGTTGTCTCAGATCATTCAACATTGCTATGCTTGAATATCATTATGAACAATTGCTTCTGTTAACTAATAGTTTTAAGCTTATAATGACCTACGGTGATATTTTTCATTTCGGTTTTTAAATTATTTGCATGGCATAGTTATCCGTAAAACTAGTCATCTGTTCTGAAAAAAGTCAAGAATCAAACTATGAAAACCCGTTATGTAAAACCACCTCAGACAATTTAATCGTCAATTGGTGCTTTTTCACTTTATAGAGTTACGTAAAAACATACCAAAAAGAACACTCTAAAAATGAAATAGTTTTCCATACTAATGTTTTAATAACTGATTAAATTTCAGGTTACATTATGCTGTGTACAAAACCATTTGATAAAGATTTGTTAAGAAGTCCACTTTATTAGAATAATAAGGAACTTTTCGGTAGTTTCGTTGACTTTCTATCGACGAAGGTATTCCTGCAAACTGTCAAAAACATTTTTATTTAAAAAAGTTACGATAATCCTTTCAATATGAAGTTAACTTATCAGCTTCATTTACCAATCTAATAACACAGAGTGATTTTGTAGATATTATAGTAATTTAATAGTTGAGATCATGCGTCAATTGAAGCTAGAGCATAATGGTAAATGTGGAAGCACTGGACAGCTGTTTCATCTTCAGCAGTGCGCATCCACGATCCAACCCCCGCGAGATTTGAGCCCACAACCTATCTGTCTCGCGCACGCGTGCGCTTAACCACTAAATGAAATCTAATAAAAGCTTAGATAAAAATTTATGAAAGTACTAAACATTCAAAAATTGTCTAGCTGATTAATGATCTTAAATTAATACGGAAATAAACGAAATTTGTTTCTTGTTTTAATGAGTTTATGTGAAAGAAAACTGTTTAAACAACGTAATGTAAATTGTATTTCATTGTTTATTTCACCTTAATTTAGAAATATTTTGACTTATATTTATAAACATTAAAGATTGATAATTTTAGGTTAAGTTCTTCCGAACATTAAGTATAAGGATGGAATAATATTTTAGATAAAAGTTATTTGATTTCTTTAAAATATACTTCAATGGTTTGTATATTAGGCAAAAAAAGTATTTTTTAAGATCTTAGTTTGTATATCCGTTTACAGATGGTACTGAGGAACGTTTGACTGAAACATTTTAATTCGGTGTACGAATGTATTTGAATTGTAGTGACATTTTCTTAACCGATTCTCAGTAAAGTGTAGTATGAAGTTTACGACTAAAGAAACCAATTATTGACCCCGTATAATCAGAACATTCGTTTTAAGTTTAGTTTTGAAACATCAAAAATGGTTTGAAAAATGTATTATAGTGATATTACAGAACGTCGAATGCAACGTTCAGTTTAGATACATTTGACATGACCTTTTTAGAAATCTATATTCAATTACGACTTTTAGGAAGTGATGGATGATTCGCATCATCTCAGGGAACAGGACAACTTCAAAACAGTTATCATAGGCTGTAAATATTCTCCATTACCCTAATTACTTCTTCTGAATGACATTTGATGATAATTGGACGTTTAACGTTTGCGTCCATTATTTAGTCTTGTGTGGTAATTTTGTTAGAGCAAAAATCACCATATCCATTTAACATAATGATTTTGTCAAATCTACAATGTTTCCAGTCCATGGGAAATTTATATACACATTTTTCTGTCAAAACATACGTTTCAACATGACGACTACATGTAGTGCCCTAAAAATAATATGTCAAAAAATCAAAAAATGTTCGCAGGATTGTTTTGCTCGACCATTAGTTACCTGAATGATTTTTTTTTCATTTTGATATTATAAATATTTCTTGCTTTTTTCTTTATGTAAAAGAAGTGAATTCTGTTGTTTTAACAACATCTTACAATCTTTTGCATATTCTCAATGGATTTAATCTATTTTTATTTAAAAACAGTTTCAGAGAAAATGAGGACACAAAAAAAGAAACCATAAATTCCTTTCTTTTATTATATAGTACAGAACAGAAAATTTTGTTTGTCAATGATACTCCATCCTCTTTGAATTTTCTTCATTCATACATATATAAGATAAGAAAGAAAATCTATCATCCTAAAAACGATGACAATGACAATATGTTCAAACTAAACAAATGTTTTATTTGACAGAAAACATTAATCTGTTTACTAAAAAATAGTATCATTTTAACAAACTAAACATTTATTAAATAACTTCCACTGCTTTATGTATTATATCAAAATCGACTTTATATAATATTAAAGGTATTCAGTGATTATTATGCTGAATTCATATGAATTAGATGATTGTTCGCCATTGAATTAAATTATTTATACTTCATAAATCGATTGTTAGACAAATAACATTATAACTCAATTAATACTATTCACTAAATTCACTTGGGGTTGTTTTATTCATCTCCTCTCATTATTATTTAAAACTGCAATTGATCAGTCTCATGTTGGCATATGTGCATCTTGTACGGATTGCCACGATATTAGCCTTAAGTTACAAGCTTTTTTAATGCAAAGAAACGTGAGTCCAGGATTCCACTGCTAACCACTATCCACCATTGCTTAAAAAAATACTGATCACCAATTTATGATTATGTAATGATATTATGTAATAATTTTTTTAGTAATTATTTACTTCAAAATACTCAATTATCTATCTTAGAAGAAGAAAAAGAAAAAGAAAAAAGGAACAAAGCTACATAAATTTTTACTAAAGTTTCTTTTTGTTTGTTTTTTTCTTTCTTCTTTACTCTTAATAAATAGGTTTAATGGATTAATATGATTGGTTAGAATATTTATAGTAACAATTTGATTGGTTAAAAAGTGTGTTTTTTTCTTACATTTTTCATTGATTGCTCATTTAATATATAATAATAATAAGATTGTCCTATATAATACTTGTTATTAAATAGGAATTAAACACTTTCAAGGATTCATATTATTTTATTAAATAATAAAAATTTTATTATTATTATTATTATTAGTTTATAAATATGTATTACAAAATTAAAAAGAACGGAAATGAATTTTTTTATAAATTATTTACATGTTATCTATTTATAATGTAAAGTTGTATATACCATTGAATACTTAAAATTTATATGACCAATCATATTAAAGTAAAAATGAAAGTTATTAAATTACACATAAAAATATAATCTGTATTTGTAATGGATTAATAATAAACATTTTCTTAATATATTAATATTAATATTATTATCATTATGAATATTGACATTATGATTGTCCTTATTAAATTCATTATATAACTTCCTAATATGGAATTAATCTATCTATGATAGTGGATTAACTTAACTGTGGAAAATACTTAGAGTGTAACTTCTTAATTTATGTTTGTTTGTTTTTCAAAAGAATATTTTCAATATTATCAGAACCATAAAATAAAACAAACTTTATTCATTTAATTGACAATATTAAAATAAATCTTGATCTAGATCAGTTTAAATAGATCACAATATCCTGTAATGGCGAATTCATTTAATACTACACGTAATAATGATGTTGAAGATTTGATAAATAAGGAATTAAATCAAGAAGAACAAAATATTGTAGATTGTTCTGACAAGAATATTCCTATTTCAATGACAAGTGAACATGAATTAGATGAGTCAAATCAACATAATAATGTAAACGTAACTGAATCATCAAGTGAATATATCATAGATAACAAAAGTGATCTAATAACTGAAGTCGAAACACAAAATTTAACTCTAAGTAAATCCGGTGAAAATTTGGAATTAGAATGTAAAGAAATACATCCAAATATAAATGAGAATAATGATAATGAATCACAAAATACCAGTGAAGTATGTTTAAACGAGATGGTAAAATCTCATAATAATATTACAGAATTTCAGATGAATGACGACGAAGAAACAAAACTTAATTTGGAATTTTCAAAGTCCAGTAACCAATGTGATCAAGAGTTTTACACAAGTACATTCTCTGAACATACCTCTGAGGAAGAGTTAGAACCTACAGCTTTAACAACTGACTTCAATGATCCCACTGAAGCATATATAGAAGAAAGCCACCCTCCTAATGATAAGTCAGAGACATATTCCAATATTATAGACGACCAAGAAGGTGACAGTAACATAAATACTGTAAAGTTAGAGTTTTCGGATGTAAGAGAAAGTAAAGACATGATTGATATACATAGTCCTTCAGAAGTAACAAGTTTATCAAGATTGGAAAACGATGAATTAGACAGGAATAAACGTGAAACAGTACTTGAAGAGTCATTTGATCATTTTACTGAAGAAAACGTTATACCTCAACATCATGAGAACGTACACTTGACTGAGGACAATGAAAAATCCGGAAATTTATTTGGGAGAATTACACCACAAGAAGTAATGAGTCTAAATGAACCAGGTGAACAGCTTCCTACTGATAAAAATGATATACCGCTTGACGTTGTTGCACATGATGCAAATGACGAAGTAGATGAAAATCTCAGTAGAATTATTATAGATGGTGTTGAAGACATTATTCAAACACCTCATGAAAAAATCGAAACGAAATTTGAATACGATATATCCACATCAGTTGGTCAACCAAATAATGGAAGTGACGAACAGTTAGACACTCAAGTAGATCATAATGAAGAGGAAATATGCAATGTACCATCTAAATCCCATAACGAGGATTATATTTCATTGGCAGACTACTCAAGAGAAGTTGAATTTCCCGTAGTAGAGGAACAGATAACTACAGAATATGAATCCCATCATAAAGAAAGCGACAACAGTGATATCATAAGTACACCTTCCCCTAGTTTGACAGAAGAACGAAATTTCAGAACTGATTTCATTACAGATATTCTTAATTCAGATGATTATGACGATGGCAAAAACAAATTGTATACTGAAGATCAGGGTAATGTTGAAAAACAAGGCCGCTTACAGTGTTCGATGAATGGTGACTCACCAACTCTTCAACAGACTAACTCTTCATTAATAAATGAAGTAAAACATACTGAAAATGATGAGATAAAAAACCGAATTTTATTATCTGATAAAGACATATGTGGAGAAAATGGCCTAGAAAGTGGTCCATTATTGTACGCTACACAAAATCTTATCAATGAGTTACAGACAGTTGAGCACTTAACGGATGACAGACCGGAAACTCTGAATATCGCTGTAGATATTCAAAAAGATGAATTATATAACGCTAAAATATATAAAAAATCAACAGTGGAATGTTACGTAACAGACCAGCATTCCAATGATGATGATGAACGTAATATCAGTAATTATAAAGTAGAAAACATTTCACCCAAATATTTTGAACAACACCAATTATTAAGGAATGGAAGTAATGAAAATGAATCAACTCTGGAAAAGTTAAACAACCAACTGAAATCCAAACCTTTAAACGATGTAAATAAAAATATGGCACTTAGGAGGATACACAATGATGTTGATGAGATAAGTCTGAATTCAGAAGGTGAACGGAGAACGGAGTTTGAACAACGTTATGCTGAATTAATTGCAAAGTATCTACCAGTTGAGAGACAATCAAAAAAGAACGATAGATCAAGACGAACTAAAACACTAGACAGATATAGTAAATCCAAATTTAGTGAGAATAGATACTCATATATAGATACAAGTGATGTTAAAAAAAGATCGGTAACCCTGGAACGCAACGAATTTAGACGTAAACGACGCCTGCAACCAAAACCATCTGTTAATGATGACTACTTGTATCCAGATTCAGTAACACCGTCTAAGGTAGACAAAAGTATAAGTGTACGAAGTTTAGAGGAGGGTATTCCAGAAGGTGCTTACGATGTACCATATATTGATGATGACGCTTTCTTGCCACGAAGATTACGTGAAAACAAAGGTGAAGATAATGGATCAGATGAAGGTAGTAGTCTGAGTCTGGAGGAAGATTACTACTCATGGAATCCTGACAGATTTAGTAGATTAGAAGCTAATCATATAGCTGATACTAACGAATGTGCTCCCACTCCAGGTTAGTTGTTTAACAAAAGTGTTCTTTTATAAAAGTTATCTATATTTTGTATAAACTGGATATTTATGATTATTTTTTTACCTTGTACGAGGGATTAAAATTATGCGTAACATTTTGCTCTGACTCAAATCTAGGTGAGAATGATTAGAAAACAAAGGCGTCATCTACCTGTCTAATTGGTGTATTAGTGAGGTTAACTTTTTATTAGGAATTTCTAAGCTATTACTCCTGATCTAATATAAACATGAGAACATAAAGCTGGTAACTTGCAGCTGATCTACATCACAGTTAATTCAGAACGTTTTGCCCTAATATCGATGAATGTAGATCAGTAAATTATGAGAATAGACTATAAGGGTTATAAGTGTATGCTTTGTTCTAAATATCATCGTAATTTATCTCCACAAAAAAAAGAGAATTAAACACACATCTAAAAATGCAACATATGTACATTTACGCAGATAAGATAAAATAGCTGATAGTACCTATTCAGGCTAACTAAAATCCTTTAATTAGTGACTTACTTCGATAGAGATTCTTAAAGTTCTTGTGTAAAGCTATAGTTGGTGAATTTTATTCATTCAATGAATCAGAGAGGTTAATTTTCACGTAATATAGTGAATTAACTGAAGTTAGAAATGCAAGCCATTGTAACCCACCTCATTGACCAAATTAAATGTCCTACTTGCAAATCTTAATGGTTATTGATTCAGGGCTGGGCAGAATTGTAATTAAGTACTTTTGAATAGTTCCACGCTGAGATAAAAATGACTATTTAGTTCACTGTGGTTTTCAATGGTTACCTAGTCTAAGTTAACCCACAACGTAAACTGAAATAAATGCATAAAACAGTATTTTTTATTATTACGACGTTATAACTGATACAAAATCAATGTAAACTTTTTGTAGCGAATTAACTTCGGAAACACTTATGTCGCAATCAAAAGATGTGATTATACAAATACTGAATTCGATTTTATAATCAATATTAGATCTATGGATAATGCTACTATAAAAATGCAAGAACAATGAAGTCTGAGTCATTTTGAGACAATTGATGGACATTTTGCAAATTATGCGTTTACTATATGATTGTTAGATTTTATTAACAAGTCCTGTAATTTTTTGTCAAATACACTGGTGTTCTTGCTCACTACAGTATAATTAAAATTACATCTTAGATAACCATTGTTTGTTAAACAAAATATATACGTGTTTAAAATGGTGAAAAATATATATTAACACTGTCTATCTGCTTTGATTTTAATGAGAGAATATTTCTAGATAGTTTCAATGGAAATGTTTTATGGTAACTAGCAAAAAGCTGTCCACAAATCCTTATATATAAGCCGTTTATCAATGCTTTTTAAAAGTAAATCTAAGTATTATTGCAAATGATGGATGATTCACTATGGATTTTCGATCACTGCGTAGAACTTATATAAACTGCAGTGAATAATGGACCATTCAGTAATTCTGACGCAGTTATTTTACTGAACACAGATGTTTTCTCATTTTAGTGACTTGTTAATAATTAAATAATTTAATAGTTGAGATCATAAATCAATTGAAACTAGACCACCATAGGTCCTGGGTTCGAATCTCGCGAGGCGGGATCGTGAATACGCACTGCTGAGTCCCACAATAAAACGAAACGGCTGTCCAGTGCTTCCGGATTTTCTGTGGTGGTCTAGCTTCAATTGATTCATGATCTCAACTATTAAATTACTATAATATCCACAAAAATCCCTTTTTAAAATTAAATAATTGTTTTTAAATATCCGCATAAAGAACAGACACTAAACGAAAAAATTTTAAAACCTATCAGCATAAAAAATTTCAAATCAGATTTGTATTTTTCACTAACATTTAATATTAGACAATTTTACAATAGTGCAAAAACATTAGTAAGATTGAAATACGCTTATAGAATCAACTACTACTCGCCATAAAAAACATACCTGGATTGAGCCTTAATACTACTACTAACAAGAATAAAGTAAAAGACTTCACTACAGGAAAAAGTAAATTGGACTATTAAAATAAACTAATCATTTGAGTTATTAAAGGATATCGAAAGCAGAAAGAACAAAGTATAAATGGTATTCAATTAAACTATTTGAGATATATTCGTCCTTAATAGCAACTAAATACAAAACTGATTTCTTTTCATGATATCTATATGTTAAACAGTTGTATAGATTTATTATACAAGCGGTATAAAACTATTTAGTCTGACATTCAGTTTGTTGTCAACAGTCATCTTTGTATAATAAATATACCGAATTTAATTATATATACATATATACAAACTTGACATCCGATATTGTAACTATAATTTTTTTTTTATTCGTTGTAAACTGGAAATATTCAAGTGCTAAAATTAAGTAAAATTTAATTTATTTGCTTAAAAGGAGTAATGAAGTTATTCATATATCCAGAAAATGCTTGTTTGATAAACGTACGATATAGAAGGATTAGGTTAATGCCTCTGAACTGATTCAAGTATTTATTTGTCATAAAATGCGACATGATTAAATGCCTACCACAGAAATAATATATTTAGTTATATTCAGATTTTACCTATTATATTTCGAAGTATTACACTTATGAATAATTAATCCATTGAATTCGTCTAACCTAGTTACTTGTATTACAAAATATGTGTATTTTATGTGTTACATAAATCTGCGTTTTTGTTTTATTTCATTTTATATTGCTTGTTTGAGTTTTCCCATCGATATTTAGGACCTCAGTTGATCAGTCTCTAATTGGTATATGTGCCTCCTGTACGGATCGCCTCGATATTGTATTACGTCAAAAGCATTAAAAGAACAGGTATATGGTGGTTAGTAGTGGAACTCAGGTGCTAAACGGATAATATGATAGTGTTTGAAGCGAACGGTACTGGCTTCAATCCCGGAGTGTACATCAATTCTGAGATGCAGATACATCCCAAATAGGACGAATCGGGTGTCCTGGATTCCACTGCTAGCCAACATCTACCTTTGTTCATAATGCATTTTTATTTATTTACTTCCTTCTATTGTTTCTAATTCCAACAACAAAATAATGTTTTTAGGTATACACTATAAATATCATTTTAATAATACAGATACATTTCGGACCACTATGAACTGAATAAAATTTTGTTTTCCTTAGTTTTATGTTGTGCTTCATTTAATGCTATTCTCCGATTCATGACAACTAGGTTCACTGTCAATCCCAAAACATCCGGATTATTGCCCGATAAGTTCAAGAAATCATCTGTATTTGTAGTAAACAGTACATGTCATAAATGTTTTGAACTTGAGGCTGTGAATAATTATTACTGTTATCTGATATCCTAGTTTTGAACAAATAATACATCGGTAAAAACGTATCACCCTGAAAATCCACTAGTTTGATGTACTTTCACTCAAATATTGTATTGTTGGCGCATTTCCTAACAAAATGTACTGAGTATGTGTGAAACTATTTTCATGAAGTGGGTCATTCAATTGTCCACCGAAAAAATTACCGGTTGTTGCCATAACTTACTTTTAGTTATTCATATAACCTGAAAGATCAGTAATTCATTCATTATTCATTCGTATGTAACAATAATTTAGGCCTCACCTAGGAATTCTCTAATTAAATATTGGCAATCATAAGGAAAATAAAAAGAAATGATAAATTTTGTTTCTTTAGATCATACTACAAAATCGCCCAGGTTTCAAACTAGCGGTTCACAGGTTTTGTTGTAAAATTTGGAAAGGCATAACCACTATCATTTATCTAATGACACGATGTGAATATGTCTGTTGTTACATTATTGAGTTAAAAAATAGCATCTTTCAGAACTCATTAACTACGATATACGTACTGTCCTTAAGTATACTTTGCTGATAATATGAATGAATGAAAACCTTTTATCTTTTTCTCTCATGGGATTGAATATTGAAGTGGATAACAAACACGCCTGGCATGAACAAACTGATAAAGATATTTATAAAAAGTACCTAGTTTGTTGCTTTTTTTACTAATTTCTGTCGTTAACCAATTATTCTGCAAACAAATGTATGTATGTAAACAATCTTGAAACTGTTTAGAGTTTCATAAATAACAATAACTTAAATTTACCTGGATGAGGTATTGCATTAAAGACAGTGTTATTTAAAGTGATATATAGATTATGAACCGAAAAAAAACTTAAAAACCATTCATAAGCTAGATACACATTAGCGTTTAATTACTCTTTTATTGGTAATATGTACAATAATATTTGTTATATTCATCAATCAGTCAGTCAGTCACAACGTAAGGCCAGGCACATATATGCATAGATCCAAGTTGCCATACCTCATTAGCACAACAAGATGAACACCAAATTCATAGAAGTAGTTAGTTTTATGGTAGTAATATATAAAAGAAAGATTGTGTATATGGATAAAGTACATTCGTCGGCCAATTATGAAGATAAAGTGATTAGGGTCATTTCACATGTCACTGTACAGTATACAAAAATAATAGATATTGTTATGTATCCACTTGTGTGTTGTTTGTTTGAATCTTACTATTGATGTTAAAGTCTGCAGTCGATCAGTCTCTATTTGGCATATGTGCATCTTGTGCGAATTGCCTCGATATTTGACTATTTAGATAAAACAATGAGAGTTTTACATAATGTCTGTCAAGTGCATAATTAAAAAGATTTTTTCAATAGTTGAAATCATGAATCAATTGAAGCTAGACCACCATGGAAAACCTGGAAGCACTGGACGGCCGTTTCGTCCTAGTATGGGACTCCTCAGCAGTGCGCATCCACGGTCTCCCCCCCCCGCGTGATTCGAACCCAGGGTCTATCAGATAAGGAAGATATGGGTTGAAACGACTTGGCTCGGCTACATCAAGCATATGTGATTATTTATTGAATTACTATCTTCCTTTATTACTTTCATGAATGATAATCATTCTCAAGCAGACACATTTTACAGTCTTAACCATCATTATTGCTCTAA